CGACCAAGCAGGCCCCGCGCGGCCCCGCGGCCTGGCCACGGAGACGGTCAGTTGGTGTTCTCAGAGGCTGCCACCCTCCGTGAGTCCAACAGCGCGGCAAACAGACCGCCCGGCCACGTGGGCCCGGGGCCCCCTCTGCCTCTGTCCCTGCCTCCTTCCCCAGGCGCTGCGCCCCATGCCCCTGGAGCTGTCACCGCAGAGGAGCCCTTGAGGCAGGGCTGACGCACGCCGGGCACAGCCCCTCCCCCCGACCATGGCCCGGCGTGGCTGTGTGTGCTTGAGGCCACCCGGCCCCGAAGGACAGAGCCTCCCGCGGCACGTGGGCCCGTTGCCCGTCAATGCTGGCGGCTCCAGCCTCTCTGGTTCAGCAGGAGCTTCCCTGAATAGGAGCGGAGCTGGCGGCCTGTGCAACATGTGGGCGCCGACCTGCCGGGCATCCACGTCAGGGCAGCGCAGACCTGCCCTTCTGACGTCCTGGTGGGTTGTCCCCAATGTGGGGGCATCCCACAAGCCAGCATCTGTGGTCCACACCCAGCCCATCGGTGGATTCAAGCAGGGCTGGCGGGAGGCCTCACTGTCCAACCCGGGGGCTGCGCCCACCTGAGCTGAGGCTGACCAGAGGCGCACACACATACTCAGGCCACAGCCTGTCCTTCTGTTGACCACAAGCCACCCTGCCCACCACCCATGTGAGGATGGAACGTCCCCGGGGAGGTCAGCACGTCCAGACACCCATCGGTGGGCTCTTCATCCAGCAGGGAGCCAGAGGACACCTGCTGAGGCCAATCTGTGGGGCCGAGTCCCTCCTGGACGGGGTCAGACCCCGGCTGGTCATCCCTGGTCATCCTGGCCCAGGGGCATCCCACGGTGCACCGACAGGGGCCTGCCCCACAGGACCGTGAGCACGTTCTCGTCCCCCCTCCCACTGGGTCTGTCGCATCCACACTTAGCATTGGCCACCTGGCGTTTCTAATGCTTCTGACTATCCTTCAAAACCCAGTGTTCAGAGTTGTAAGTGGATAACGTCTCCGGGTACCCAAGGCTGGGCGTGCTCTGCTATGATAAGCTCCCACGCCAGGGCCAGTGCAGGGGTCCACGCCCCACCTCCCCAGGTCCCCTGAGGCCGGCCCCATCCGCGGGCCTCCTAGGCAGGCAGCGAGCCTCCCAGGCCTAGACCAAGGACCTTGGAGGTGCCTGTCTCAGCCAGGGGGCTGGGGACACCTCCCCTCCACCTGTGTCCAGGCCTGGGAACACCTCCCCTGTGCTTGCATCTAGGCCTGGCAATATTGCTGAAAAAATGAAAAACGGTGGTACAGACAGGCGGGAGGCCCCTCCAGGGATCACAGTGACAGGAGTTCTCCCCCCGGCTCTGCAGTGTCACCCAAGTGTTCCAAGCCTCCATCCAGCCTTTCCTTGTGGACATGGATCATTCGGGGACCTGAGTGTGCGGCCTTCTGTCTCCCGGCAGCCCCTTCAACAGGGGAAGGGCTTCCAGTCGGGGCAGGATTGTGACAGGAGAGCAGGAGGCCAGGGCCACAGCCAAGGAAGAAGACGGGGCGGGGTGGTGAGTGCTCGAGCCAGGCGTGTGTGTGCATGCGTGTACACATGTGTATGTGAGTGCCTGGGAGGGAGGCGTGGTTGGGAGTCTGCCTGCCCGTGGCAGGACCTGCGGCCCCCACCCTGAGGTCAGGAATCAACATTTGGTCCGAATGTGGTATGTCTGGGGCACGCCTGCTTCTGGCTTAAGCGTTGACAGAGACCTCGTCCCACGAGAACAACGTGTCTTTATTATCAGTCCTAATAACCACCCAACTGTAGGAAGAACCCCACCTCAGGGGCTCCAGCAGGCAAGAAGCCACCAAAGCAGAGGCAACCCAGGGTACAGGCCAGTGTGGGGGTGGGGGGCATCTTCAGGATGAGAAGGACCGAGGACCGGGAGGGTCTGGATGGTGCACGGTGGGCGTGGACCTGGGCGGGGTCTGCGTGCCCAGGGCGCCTCGCCTCCGTGGCACTGTATGCTGGGGCGCTGGGGCAGAGTCTCATAAGAGCCAGACAGATGGACAGACAGATGGGCAGGCCTGAGACCTGAGGGCAGAAGCAGCAGTAGGGCTTGTGCTGCAAGGCTGAGGGTGCCTGTCACAGGGAGCCCTCCTCAGCAACCCTCAGAGCCAGTCGGCGGGCTCGGGGTTCCCTGTGGAACAAGGACCATGCACCAAGAGCCTGGGGGCCGAGGGGGCTGCCCCCGCCCCAGAAAGGCCTGCAGTGTCCCCGTCTCGGCAGGAGCCATCTGCACAGGCTGGCCAAGAGCCACGACAGCAAGCACAGACGGGAGATGTCTGGCAGTGAGAGGGAGCCCCCACAGCATAATCCCAGTCCAGAGGGGTGTGGGGCTCGGGCTGGGGGGTGGGGGGATGGAGGGATGGGCCCCAGGCTGGTGGGATGGGGCCCAGGCTCGGGGGTTGGGCCCAGGCTGGGGGGGGGTGTGCCCAGGCTGGGGGGCCGGAGGGATGGTGGATGGACGGATGGGGCCCAGACTGGGGGGATGAGGGGATGGGGCCCAGGTTGGGGGTAGGGGGCCCAGGCTGGCAGGCTGGAGGGTTGGGGCGGGGGATGGGGGGAGGGGGGCTGGGGGCTTGGGCTGGGGGTAATAGGCAGGCAGCTCTGGGCCATGGAAGGTGGTGAGGAGCCCGAGCTTGCCCTGCACTTAGCCTGGAGTCCTGCTCCACCACAGAAATCCTGGTCAGCCCCTGCTGGCTGCTGGTCACTCTGTGCATCTTAAAAGGACCCCCTTTGGTTGCGCCCTCTGTGCCACCCGGGACACTGAGGCAGAGAGGCACAGCCTGGTGTCGAGTGGCTGGCGCTGAGGCCTGGCCTGGACCCGGGGGCCATGCATGACAGGATGGCCACTGGGAGCCCGGCTCCAGCCTGCTCCCCCTGCTGTGCCCAGTACCCAGGGGCCTTGCCCTCTCTAGCTCCCCACCCTGGGCAGGGGGCCCAGACAGAGCAAAGCTCCAGTGAGTGCCTCTGGGCACCTGGGAAAGGGTCGCCTCACCCTCCCCTGCACCGGGGGGCTGGGTGGAGCCGCTCTTGCTGGCTGCGGCGGCCCCGGGCGCCGTCTGCTGGCCGCACTCAGCTTGTGCCTGCTCTGCTGGAGGGCGCCGGCCGTTCAGGGTCTGCCAGGCAGCGGTTAGCATGGTGCCGCACGCCCACCGCGCCCTCCCACATGCGGGGAGGGGTCCCGAGAGTGATATGGGTGCCCCCCAGCTCCAGACAGGCCATCTGTGCAGCCCTCCTGGGCGAAGCCCCAGGAAGGGCTCCCGACCCCGAGTCCCCCTCCTTATTCTTCTTGGACCCTGAGTCTCGCTGGTTACTCTCTGACCTCGAATTCCCCCAGTTCCTCTCTGACCCCGAGTCCCCCCGTAATTCTCTGGCCCCGAGTCCTCGCTTACACTCTGACTCTGGGGATCCTGCTGAGTGGCTGACACCTCATTTGAGTCTTGACAGATGAGGCAGCAGAGGAGCAGGTGCCCAACTGAGCCACCACTGGGGAAAGCCCCGGGAATCCTGGCTACCTCCCACCTTACAGCACCTACACCAGGACCCCCACCCCGGCTGTCCCCTCCCCCTGCCACTGGCTCTGGTGGGCTGGGGTCTCCATCCACCCCTTGGCTCCTCTTGGAGGTGGAGGATCTCACTGGTCGCCCCGGGGTGGAGGGGAGGGAACCCACCTCAATCCCGTGCAACACAGATGGGGCTGGTGGTGCAGCCCCCGAGGAAACCAGGAGACGCAGAGGGACTCCTGGGACCGAGAAGTGACCTGAGGGGCCACCCTGGGGGGAGGCATGCGGCCCAGGCTGGGTTGGGGGGCAGCTCTAGCCTGGCAGGACTGAGGGCGGGCCCCGCTCCTCCAGGAGGCATGTGGTTAGCAGGCATCGTGCCCCGCCATGTTGAGAGCGGGGTAGGGGTTGGCCGGGCTGTTCTTGCGGGACCTCCTCCCCAGGCCATGGCCAGACCAGAGTCCCGAGCGCAGTGTGTGCTCTATGCCTGGCCCTGGGCTGGGTGCCAGTGGACCTCAGACTCGGGGGTGTGGGCAACGGGGGAGAGACAGGGCACTGTGGAAGGGACGAGCGAGGCTGCGGGAAAGCACAAGTGCCAGATTCACAGCTCCACACGCTGTGGCTGAACCCCAGACCCAGACCACCTGCTCGGGAACTGACTGCTGTGGGTCCAGATACACTGAGGCAGGGCAGGTGGGACCTGCTTGGGCCCGGCGGACCTCTGGGAGCCTGGACCCCGAGGCTCCCAGTGCTGGGCTGGGCATGCCCTCACTGCGAGGACGCCCCTGGGCTCATAGACCCTCACCTGGTGTGTGCCCTGCACGGCGACTCGGGTGACCTGTGAAAGGGGTGTGTGGGGGGGTTACACACGGAATGAGACCCTTGGAGCAGCTGTTCTTGTTCCTAAACACCTTTGGGTTAAAGGGAAAGGGGCACGGGAGTCTCCAACTCCCGTTTTCACTGTGACACGTTGTGCAGAGGTTAGAAATGGTGACATGTAGTAACCCAATATTTATTTAAGAGCAAAAGAGGCAGGCTGGGGATCTCCGGCTGCGCGTTCAGGTTAACAGCCAATCTGGGCCGAGTCCCACTCCGGGTCGGGGGGAACGCGCCTCACACCAGCGGTTGGGGCCCCACCATGGGGGCGCAGGGGAGGCGAGGAGGGGGAGCCAGGTTGGGGCTCCGGGCAGGGACCCCGGGCAGCGTTCCCTCCCTCGTCCTCTGGGCGGCGGGCGCGGCGCGGCGCGGCGCCGGCGCCGGGGCATTCCCCGTCCCCGCCTTGCCGGTGCTTCCCGGTGGCTAGCCGCCCCGGGAAAGTTCCCCAGCCCCTGATCCGCTAGGCCGATGGAAAGTTTCCGTGGCTGCGTAGCGCCGGCCCAAGGCTCCCGGTCGAGTAGGGCGGACACGGCTCAGGTTGCGTCGCGACCGGAGGGGTGCGCGGAGCTAGGCGCACGGCCGGCCGGGCAGGACCCCAGGCCGCGCACAAAGAGACCCGCCCCCGCCGGTCCGGCATCTCGCGCACCGCTGCGCGGTGCGGGTGGAGCGGGGCCCGCCTGGATCCCCGGCACGGACCGTTGCCCAGACCTCGATTCCGGCCCCTGCCCGGCCCGCAGCCCGGATGCCGGCCCCGACCCCGACCCGGGTTCCCGGCCGGAGCCTACCTGGAGCGCGGTTGTGGGCGGTGTCGCAGCACGGCCCCCGCCCCAGACGGGCGTCCGCCTGTCCCTCGGCGCGCGGCGTCCCCGGGCGGGCGCGGGTGACCGTCCGGGGGCCTCCGATCGCGCCGGTGCAGGGCGCACCGTCAGCGCCCCGAGCAACCGGGGCCAGCCCTCCGCCCCTTGCTCCTCCGGTGCGCAAAGCCGGCCTGCCGGCGCCGCGACCCTCGCCCCTCCCCGCCGCCGCCACTGTTCTCATTGGTCGGGAGGCCCGGCAACCGGCGCCGATTGGACGAGCGCGGGGAGACGCCGGCTTGCCATTGGGCGCTGGGGGTGTCCGTCTCTGCCGACCACAGCCCCTCGTGGAGCGGCGGAGGCCGGGGCACCTGCCGGGACCTATGCGGCTGTGGCCCGGGCTGCCGGCCGCCCTCTCCCGGCCTCCTTCGAGGACGTACCCGGGCCATGCGGCCCGCGCGGGGAGCGGGGCAGGCCTGGAGCCCCATCCCCGGACTTGGGCCGGTCGGCCCTATCGTCACCCCCAGTTTCCCGGGTATCCTCCTCCAGCGCCTGCTGTTGGCTGCACGCGGCGCCCACCCATTGGCACCAGTTGTATTCCCACAGTACGCGAGGGAGCGTTCTGCTGTCCTCCCGTTTTTACAGACGGAAGACCCACCGAGGCATAGATAGGTTTTCGCCAGCTTTAGGTCACTGGGAGGAGGCGGTGGGGCTCCAACCCAGTCCATCTGGGCGGTCTCCCACCCTCATCGCCCCAGGGCTCCCACTGTGGAGGCCCTAGTGGGTGGGACCTCTCGGGGAACAGTGGCTTTTCTCTTCCTTCAGGGGTGAATTTACGACTGCATGGGCTCCGCCCACCCTGCAGGACACGGGGACTGGCCTCCCTCTCTGACTCAGGCTGCAGATGGGGGCTGGAAAGAGTCAGAGTTCAAGGAAGGTGGCCTCTGCCCCTGGCCCACCACCACAGGGCCCAGGAGCCCCGTCTGTCCCTCTCACCCACCCTCCACCTGGCTTCTGGCCAGCTCTATAAGGCCATCCCTCGGGCACATGTGAAAAGCTGCAGGGAGAGCCAGGTTTCTGCTGGATGTTAGAAGTTCCCAACAGCTGCAACTGCTTGAGGTCAGAAGGGTGACCACACAAGGTTATGAGCTACCATCTAAGGATGTATGTGTTCAGAGGTAGGGTGACAGGGAACCCGTGGTGGCCCTGAGACCCCCCCACCCCGACCCATCTCATTGGCTGACGGTGGAATGAGATTTCCACCTCCCCAACCTAAGCATGGCTGCATCCCCTTTGCAGATAATGGGAAGGTGCTGGTCAGGAGGGCTTGGCCACTCGGGGTCCCGCACCTCTGGGCCCAGTGGTTTGGGGCAGATCACTCTGCAGCTGCTGCCTGTTGTCCCCCCTGGGCATGGCCACTCGCCTCCAAGCCCGGGATTCTGCTTATCCAACACTACCACCTCTCAGATGGACTGCAGAATCCAGCTGCCCAGAGGGGAATCACTGGCACCACCCAGCTTGACTCTTGCCAGGTGGCGCGAGGAGGACTGAGTGTCTCTCGCTAGGTCTGCCACCTGCTGGCCAGGAGTCCTGGGACACAGGGAGCCCAAGGACAGGGGGAGCCTTGAGACATGGGGAGCCCTGGGACACAGCGAGCCCAAGGACAGGCGGAGCCCTGGCCACTGGGGGGCCTGGGGAGTCCCTGGACAGGAGGAGTCCTTGGACACGGGGAGCCCCAGGACAGGCAGAGCCCCGGGACACAGGGAGTCCTTGCTTTCCTTGCCTGCAAAGGGCTTCTGTGGACCTCGAGGAGTAGCACAGATGAGACAGCACAACAGTGGAGTGGAATGGGCTTTTACGGGTGTCATGCAGGTTTGAGATGGAATCATGCCTGGGGTTAATACCAGTCTGGCCCTTGCCCTCTCTGAGTCCCAGTTTCCACAGGGCATCACATCTCCAAGAAAGGATCAGGCACCTACATCCTCACTGCAGGGTTGTGAAATTAATCCAGCCACTGCCACTGGCCACTTAATTCTGACTTCAAGCAAGTGACACAAAATTGCTCTAAGCCTCGATGTTTGCATCTGTAAAATGGAGAAATGAGAGCTGTGTCCTGGAATGCTGGGTTAGAGCACTTAGCACACTGAAGTGAAGAGCCAACTCATTGGAAAAGACCCTGATGCTGGGAGAGATTGAGGGCAGGAGGAGGAGGGGGCAACAGAGGATGAGATGGTTGGATGGCATCACCGACTCAAAGGACATAAATTTGAGCAAACTCTAGAAGATAGTGAGGGACAGGGAAGCCTGGTGTGCTGCAGTCCACGAGGTCGCAAAGAGTCGGACACGACTTAATTACTGAACAACAACAAAGCACATTGTTGTGTGTGTGTGTGCTCAGTCCTATCTGACTCTTTCTGACCCCAAAGACTATATATAGACCGCCAGACTCCTCTGTTCATGGTATTTTCCAGGCAAGAATACAGGAGCAGAGTGAGTTGTCATTTCCTCCTCCAAGGGATCTTCCAGACTCAGGGATCAAACCAGCATCTCTTGCATCTCCTGCACTGGCAGGCAGATTCTTTACCACTATGCCACCTGGGAAGCACCATTATTACCAACCTTAATATAATTGTCATCCTCGTCATAGTTTGCTGAGGACCCATCTGGAGCAAGCCCTGGGCCTCTGAATCTCCACTCAGACCCCAGACGGCCCAGAGGACACTGGGCAGGGAGCCGCAGCGAACGCCTCTGTCCTCCGGTAAAGGATCTAGTCAGTGGCTTTTGCTCAGTTGCGATGGTGTGGAGATCAGGCCGGCAGCCCTGCATCTTGGGGTCGGCCCTGCCAACAGCCTTGAGGCGGGTGAACGGTTGCGGTGACCGGTCCGACGTCTGTCCTGAGCGCAGCAAGGATATCCGCGGTCAGAACTGCTAATGGGGAAAGATGGCCAGTTTACAGGCATGGACTGGGGAGGCAGGGAGGCATGGCCTCCTGCAGGGCCCCGTGCAGCGCTGGCCGCTGGGCGGGCAGGAACGTGTCCACGAGAGTAGGGCTGGGGGCCGGCACCGTCCTGCCCGCGGGGGTCACTAGGCGCCCCCGGGCGCTTGGCGCAGCCCCGGGGGCGGGGCGCCGGGAGGTGCAGCCCGCGGCGACGGCGTGGGCAGCCAATGGTGTCCGGGCTCGCGCCGCGCCGCGCCGCCCCCTAGCCTGGCTGCCCAATGGCGAGCGCGCGGACGGCGGGGGGCGGGGCCTGAGCGGTGGCGGCTGCGGCGCGCGGGCGCGGCACCCGGAAGTCGGCGGCCGTGGCGGAGGCGGTGAGTGCGCGCCGGGATGCGGGCGGCGGGCGGCGGGCGGCGCTCCCCGCGGGGCGCGGGGCGCGGGGCGCGGGGCTCGGACTCGGCAGCGGCCACCGCGCCCGCCCCGATTTCCCCTTCTCGACGCGGTGATTGCCCGTCCAGCGCCCGGTCCGGTCGGAGACCGAGCCGATCCCGGCCGACGGAGCGTCCTTCGCGTTCCTGAAACCGCGTTTGCAGTGTCCCCGCCGGAACGGGGCGCGGGCCCCGCAGGCCTGGCCGGTATCCCTGCCAGGGTGGGTGGGCTACGCGGCGGTGGGCCGGGGAGACCTGAGTCACGTTGCTTCCTCCTTGCGCCCTGCTACAGAGGATGGCTGATGCCTGTCCGGGGAGGCAGCCGGGGCCGGGTCATGTGCGCGCCTGGACACGGCCTTCCTGGGCTGGCTCGGTCGTCAGGCCCTCCCCACGGGAGTTCAGGGCAAGGGGCTGGGCAGGGCTGCACCCTGAGTAAGACCCAGTAGCCACTGGTTTTGAAGATACTCCTGCCCCAGCAGCTGCCCCGCGCGCCTCTGGGCCACAGATCTGGTGTGGGCCTTCTGCCCTTGGACAGCTCCTGAGGCCCAGCTGGCCTCTGCTGGGGCAGTCCCGTGGTTAGCCAGGGCTGCCCTGCTGTCCTGCTGCGGTCCTGCCCACCGGTGTCTTGATTTTTTGGTCTCGGTGGACAAGGGATAGAGCTGTGAGGGGTGCCTGCAGCCGGGAGCTCCTGGGAACTGCTTTCTGCTGCTTGCGCCTTGTCCTCTGGGCAGCCTTTCAGGGCAAGTGTCTGTTGGCCAGACGACAGCATTCACAGTGAAGAAAACTCAGGCTGAGGGCCAGTGGTGTCCCCAAGGTCACTCAGAGCTAGGCTGGCCTGTCTTCCTGAGCCCCTCTCCCAGAAGCCTTCCTGCCTCAAGTGACCTATCGTGTGGGGTGGGGTGAGAGGGTGGGTGTGTTGGCAGGTGGATACAGCAGAGCCTCCACTCCTGCTCCCTGGGGCCCAGGGTTCCCGGTGGGGAGAGGGTGCTGTCCTGGCACTCCCACCTGCTGGGACCCCTGACCGCTGACTGCAGAAGCACGCGTACCCTAGTACTGTGGCTTTCTGTCACTGGTGTGTCAGCAGGATGCAGGCCCCTCGGACCAGGCCTCCAGCCATCTGCTCTGCCTCGCCGCCCCGTCCCTGAGCTGTTAGGACTGGCTTGCGGGCTCTTTGTGTGTTCATTTCTGGGCTGTCACTTAGGTCGTGTTTCACCCTGGCACAATCACGTGTGGTGTCCTGGGGACTTAATCCTGTGCTGGCTACGGCTCTAGAAGGCCCCTCCTGGCCGCTTGGTGCCCTGTGTGCTACTTCTGAGGGTGTCTGTCCGTGGCCCTGGGCAGGGAGGCCACTGCAAGTGGGGCCACACTCGTCACTGACACCCTGGGTGTGTGAGTGTAGGTCTGTCAGCCAGTGTGTGAGGACAGTTGGTTGGTCTGGACCTTGGGGTTTGGTGATGGGCTCTGAGAGAACAAGGTCACCCCTGGGCCACTGAGTTCCCTTTTCAGGGTGTCGGTGCAGCTGTGTTTCCTCCTTCTCAACTTTCTTTCTAGGTTGCAGAAGTGCTGGATACACGCTTCACAGTGAAGAGGCCCAGGCCCCACCACCTGGTGTCTCTCCCGGGTCCTTAAGACCATGCCCAGTAGAAGTACTTGCTTCCACACTCCTTTTAGGGGCTGATGGGAGTGCCCCCTTCCTCCCTTTAACCCCTTGAGCTGCAGGGCTAGCCCCCGGCTTGTGGGGAAGCCGTGTTCCTGTGGGGGGATGGGGACCAGAGTGCAGAGCCTGCAGTGTGCGCCATGACTCCCGCGTCCCTTGTTGGTGCTGCTCTTTTGAACCCTGAAGGGACAGTGACACTCACTGCGAGGCTGAATGAGTGC